TTTCACTTAACTAGTTCAGCGCTATTTTAGAAAGAACAATTACCTTTTGGTAAAATACCACATATCTTTTCTTAAAAGCATGCTACAGCTGCAAGTTCATGACTCGGTGATGTCAGGGGAATATCATAGTCAACTAATCACCATAATCAGCCAATGAAGGTAATAAGTAAGTAGGCTTTGAAATCAGCTGAGAAAGACTGTTAAACTTTGAAGCCCAGACTATCTGTACCAGGTCTGATCGAAAGTCTGTCTAGCCCAATATTTTCTCTCCAGCAGGAGAATCAGTAAGAGCAGTGGTCATTAGTACTTGCCTAAGGAGAATGAGAACAGAGTCATCAGTTAGCATTGCTTCCCCAGGATGCTCTCCCAGCATTCAGGATCTATGGCACAGGGTTTCCTTTGCCAGAGGTGCATCTCTGTGCTTAAGAGTCTTTAATGACTTTTTGTGAGTTGGATAGGTACTAATGAGAATGAACTCATGTGGTCGTTGTATGCTTATTCCTGAAAACATACTTTAATTTGACACTTTTGTTGTCAGAGAATGTCAGTTCTGTTCCATAAATGATATCATCTGACAAATGCTGGTAAAGTAGTGGCTATAGGGATTTTTTTGTGTTCTGTTTTGATTATTTTCAATTTAAATTGATCTTGCCCTGTCTTCTTTTCCACTTCAAAGAAGAACTCCTATTTCTAAATGGGTATGTTAAGACAGCCTCTAGCAGCATGTACGTATGTGTCTTGATTTATTTCCATTTTGCTACCAGTAATCTCTGAGTGAGATCTACTGCAAGGCAAATCTTTCTTTCAAAAATAAACTTTCCCTGAAAAGGTTTTGGTTGTTTTAGCATACTTTGTATGATGCTTTTTTTTTTTTTTTTTTTGATGATTAATGTAAGGTTAAAGATTTCTTCTTTTTTAAGAAGCAAATGTTATGAAATGAAGTTATATTTGTCCTTTTAGTGACTTTTCTGCCTTTTATTGTCAGTATGTTGGAAACTTCATAATTTTCAAAACTTCAACAAATTCTTTTTAATCACATTGGAGTGAAATATTGCAAATATGAGAGAGTAGCTTTTATATTAGTTACTTTTAATATCTTTTTACATAGCCAGACTGACTTCTGTTACAGTAGGCCTAGTAGTAGCTCCAGTGTTTCTTATTTTGCAGAGTATTACCTCTTGTGGTAGCAGGTGTGGAAATAATTGACATCAACACATCTTCACAAGAATAAAACTCCGTTTTTGATTTGACTGAAAAAGACATTTGCTCCCCGGGACTTTCCTCAAGAGAGCAAAAGAAATGGATGTGTAGCTAAATATTTGGAGATGTGAATCTTGAAAAAACCTCTGCACGTATAAACAGGCAGTGTATTTTTCATACTTATTTGAAGTATTTGGAGAAGAAATACATATTTTCTTTCCTTTTTAGAATGAAATAATCTAACCTTGCAATCTTTATAACGCTGAATGTTGAAGGGGAAAAGTATGTTATACTTCTATTTTCTGCTATTAGAGCATCTCTGTCTCTTTTTGGTTTGCTGAATAGTAAAACTTGGAGTAAAACTCAGCTTGGACAGGATACAAGATCACATATGGGATTTTTCTTTCCCCTTTCAGAGCATTTTTGAGCCCCCGCACGCTGGAAAGCCTAGTCTGGAAGGCAGAGAAGGAGGAGACGGGGATGTTTTTGTGGCTCTGATATAAATGCCACATTTTAAAGAAATTACATCATGAAAATTGCTTTCCACTTCAGTATCTCCAAGGGCTATTAACACGAGCAGCTCCAGACCTAGAAAAACTTTGTGGTCTGCTAGCACACAAAATATAAAAGTTTATTTTATCAGGAAGCAAGATAAAGGAAATCGCTTCTTGGCAAGTTTAACTGAGGAGAACGTGGCATTATTTGAAACACAGTTACTGATCCATCTTATGCATGTCCATGAGATAGTGGCAGAAAAGCTGGATTTTGTCCTGTAGGGCCTTGTAGCATGATAGATGGAGTGAAGACCTCACCTGCCTCAAGGAGTAAAATCAGTGGTTCCTTTTATTCTCAGCTGCTTGCTTTTTCAGTATTTTCCTATTTGTGTGATCTAGGTGTTGCAGGTAAGGATGAAGATGCAAAGGGAGATGGGGCACTATCCCTAGGTGCATGTATGAGTATCTGCAAACTGTATGTCTTTTGTATATTTTGCTACAACAGTACGTGTACAGGAACCTGTGGCAGTGTTTGTCATGGGATTCACCTGTGCATGCCGTGGGGAATGATGAAATAACCATTAAAAATGGTGCTATTTGTTTTTTTTCCTCATTCTGAGTTGAATCGGAACTTAATCTGTGAGCGTTTTCTGTACTTTGTGTCTGTGCAGGCATGCGTGCACGCACGCGCGCACACACACACACACACACGCATACTTCCACTATTAGTACGTAAGTGCATACCACATCTGAAAAATTCTTACAAGCTGTCTGTTAGCAGCATATAGAAAGGGTATGAAATGTCTGCAACACTGCAGATTCTTTGCACAGTGAAACGGGGCTACGTAGTGTCGGTGTCTAAACCTGTTCCTAATAGCCTATTTGGGTTTAGTAATTAGAAATATTCAGGGTTTTTTTGGCCTGTTGGCGTAATACTGATTATTTAATTTGGGGGAAGTGGTGGTCGGTCTTCTTTTTTCAGTCTATTTTGCAGATACTGGAATGCTGAGCTATTTGAACCAAAGTTTACTATGCTTGTTTGGCCGTCCTTCAGAAGGACTGTGCCAGCAACAGACATAAATTAGCTGCTTGTGGAAGTCAGTCCTTCTCTAGAGAACTTAAAGTCCAATGACCTTTTGATGAGACAGGTGTTTGGACTGAGCATTCCTTTCTGCACAGTCCTGCGAGTCTGGATTGTTTTAGCTTTTATACCCATCTAAACAAGCTCTTACTTAAGGTTTCATTTGGATTCTCAGACCTAAATTCTTGCAAAGCATCTGTTACCTGACAAAGCGAGAGGCAAGTCCTCTGCTAAGACCTTCTCTGAGAAGAATATAAGCTATGGAAGATCATGCTGAACACCATGACTTCAGTAAGGCTTGTAAACGTCCACCGCCCTCCTACTGTCCACCTAACCAGCCATCTCATCATAGTTTTAAGTCTTTTAATGTAGTCCTATAAAACTGTTTATAAGGTAAGAATAGTCTTAGCTTTGAGAATGTGTAAGCTCCTGATTCATGATGCAAGGAGCTTACATTTTAGTTGTATCGTTATGACATATTAGCCGACAAAATTTCCAGTGACAGGATAAGGCCAAGGCCATATGTATTATCTTGAACATTGCGGTAAAGGACTGTGGCAGGTACTGTGCCATTGTGCCAGGTGTCATTGGGCCATTAAGCTAAAGCTGCTCTTTCATTAATAAGCTAGCAATGAGACATCCAAAATGCACTGAACACTGTATCTGTGTGAAATTGATTATTATGTTTGAGAACAGAATTTGAATTCTGGTTTTGGTTTCATTTCATTTCAGACAAATAAAAAGAATGTTTGTCTTCAGTAGTCTCGTCATTAGAAACAGAGAATTGATTATAATTTTTCACAGCAGTAATCAGAGGTCCCATCTGAGGGGAGGACCTGACATGTCTATTGGTGACAATTCTGAGTGATATGAGAAAGTCATCCGAAGGATTTTCTGGATTAGCAAATCTTGTGGTCAAATTTTTTGGGGTGTTTTGCTGCATAGATTTGAAAATAAAGTTGCTTAGGATTCCCTTTACTTTCCCCTGACATAAAATGTTGATTGAAAGGAATGGGTTTTGTGCTTTTAATTTGCTCTTGTTGTCATTGGATAAGTGATTTTAAAATGTGTGTATAATTCTATTATGAAAACCTATGCTATCTGAATTCAAATCAGTATTCATGTCAGTTGCTGTCACTTTGGTGGTAGGTTAACCTATGATGCATTCTTATGTAAAATTCTATTTGTCTGAATGAGACACAGCTGAATTAGATCCATGGTATTATATGTTCACCTGTTGTCCACATGATGCATATCTTTAACATATAACAATTGACATATATCCAAGAAAACAAAAAATGAAGTCAGATTCCAGGAGATCAGTGGAATATGATTTTGTTCAATACTCGTGAATATGCTGTCTTGTAATTATTTGTGCATTATTTGAACACCGATTGGTTCCTCTAGCTATGAGCCTTACCGTGGTGATCAACATCTTTGTTATTTCAGAACTATAATGTATGTTTTTGCTTTCATTACATTTTTTACATTTCTGCGGAAACTTCAACTGGAACAGATTATTTCATTCAAGTGGTTAGACACAGCTTCTTTGTGATACCACATACTCTTAATTTTTTGCCCTCTAGTCTTTGGTTTCTGGTTATATTACGTATATGAAGTCCTAAGCCGATTTGGAACTGCATCTATCTGCCTAAGCCCTTCTGGAAAACGTCTCACTTCAGTCCATACTGTTGCTGGATTAGCAGAGATCCTTGAGATTCATCCTTCCAACTAGGGAGGGTAATATCAGCAGCTTTTCTTCCCTGGAGAACTTCTGTTCCTTGGGGCCTGATAGAAGATGCTTTCAAGCACACCTGTCCGTATGGGTATTAGTGGAGGCCTAAGAGTTGCAAATAGGATTTGTTCATTAAGAAGATACAGTGAGACTTTAATCCCCAGTGATGAGACTAATTTAAGCGATGAGCCGGGAAATGTGAGGAAGCACCAATTCTTTGTTCAGTTTATAGCTTAGATTTCCTGTTTTTTAAATGCATCTAACTGTCTAGCTTTATAAATGCTCTCTAGCATGGACTTCATATAAAACTAGGTCAACATAAATGACAAGTAATATATGAGGTTTTTTGCATTTCTTGAGTTATTGGAAGTGAGGGTAAGGACCTGGCATGGCTTTAGTGATATTCGCTAATACTCCTTTACAGTTGATACTGTAAGCATACATAGATTTGCTTTACAGAAATTCTGTTTTCTTCATGTTGTCTCACCAGTGCTGGCTGAGCTGAAACTTCCTGCTTCTTAGGGAGAGCATGTATAAAAGGAATGACCTCATGGCCAATGTGATAATCACCTCCGCTGCTCCAGAGGTACAGTTCGTTGTTTTTGTTTTGTTAGTTTCTGTATCAAAATGGAAATTCTGGTTTGCTTGGACTTTCACAGAAACCCTTTCTGCTGTCAGTCATGTCAGGCCTATTTCTTGTAAACAGTGTAGTATTTGACAGCAAAGTAAATCTAGAAAATCATGGTTCAGAGTGTTCACAGCTTACACTTTCTTTTTGGTTTTTCTTTTATTGACGATTATTCATTTTGATTAATTTTAAATGGCATTTTTTGACTTTTTATTCCATGACTAAAATTTCTGAAAATATAGCAGCTGTTTATTGCTAATGAGTTAAGAAACAATGTAACATACCATCCAGATGGAGCCAATCAGAAGTATTCCAGCAGAACTTTTGTTGGAATTTACTAGTCTACTAGTAAGAAAGTACTGTATAGAGACTTGTTTATTTTACCTTTAATATCCTTCAGCGACCAGGTGGCTCTGTCATGCCATTTCCAAAACCTACCTGGTTTCATGTTATCTGCTGTGCGCAGCTAACAGCCTGTCTGTAGCTTCAGGACAGCCAACTGAAGACTACTTGGGAATTAGTTGTCCTACTGGCTTTTATTTCCTTTCATATAGGACTTGGAAATTTTATACATCAGCTGTAGTAAAGCTTGCCATGGAAAGCACATGTCTTAAATGTATAATTGGAATTACTTTTTGCATTTAGAAAAAGGTAACATTTTGATGTAATTCTTCCCCACTTGAAAAATTCTACTTTTTAGCTCTTGAGAAAACTGAAGCACTGTTGAAAACAAGCTTTTCCATAGTAATGGCTCCTTTTGCACATACAACTTGATCCTATCAGAGCAGTGGTCCTGTTTTTCATGAAACAAGTCAACTGTCTCAGGAGTGAGCTGAGCAGCTTTACAGAGGTCCTGATCTTTAAAAATCTTATAACAAAATAAAAATGCATGATACAACTGTGGGCTGCAAACATAGTATAAATGTCCTCGTACTAACAAAAATAGTTTTTCATATAAAGATGGGGAGACAATTTTTAAATGAGATATATAAAAACAATTTTGAAATTCTTCTTCAAAATCATAAAAAAAAAAAAAAAAAAAGCTTTCTCACACCATTTTCTCAAGACAGAAAAATCTGTCGTTAAGCAGAACATAAGAAGGCTCCGGGGTCAAACTGAATTTTTATTTATTATGTTCATCTGCCTCTGACAGTAGCCAAAAGCAAATTTCTAAAGAAGGGCATAAAAGTGCAGCAAGCATATAGGAAACATCCCCTCTGGTAGCATCTCAGCCACAGCTATGTGCAACCCAGGGACATCTTTAGAGAGAGGGGCCTTGTCAAAAGTCTTTCAGAAATCCAAGAAGATAGTATCAGCCATGTTCCTTGACCCACGTATTTTTTAATACTGAGGCAGTGCTTTTCTTTACAAAAATTGTCTTAATGGTTCCCTGGTATGTCACACTTACCCACTACAAATCAGTAGTTCCTCAGATATCCAAGAACTACTTTGTTTAATTAAAAAGAAAACAAAACCTCATTTACCACCTTCTAGTTCTTTGCTACGAAGGCAGCTGTAAGTGAGATTTACATGCCACAGATAACGATTCATCTTGTTTTGACAATCTGTTCTCTTCTAATGAAGGAATAACCTAAGTAAGATAGGGATTTAAGCTTTTACATAGATATATTTTTATTTTTTTATTCAGGATGTCGTTTTAGGGTAAGAGAAGGAAAAATTAATTATTGTATAAGACTATTCCTCAAAAGGGGAAAACAGCCACAAGTGCCTTTATCTGAGCGCGAGGATAAGAAATTTAAAATGGAGGGCAAGGCACAATACTACTCTAAAATATCCTGGAACTAACCTTGAGTTAAGTTTCAAGACATGTCGTATTTTTCACTTTTTATAGTGTTATGGTTAAAGCAGCATGATTTGGATCTCATATCTACCTACTCTTCACCTTGTATATTTAATTTAAAAATTTCCGCTGACTGTGATTCTTCAAAATCCCAGCCAGTTTGTTATCTGACAGACCTTTTATCTAGTCTGTAATTCTAAAACCAGCATTTTAAAGCTAGAAATTTCATACAGCTAAAATAGCGTTAAGTATATCAGTATTGTTTTGGCAGAAGAAAGTCAGTTTGGTAAAATATGTTGGAAACATTCGTGTACCATGCTAAATTAAATTCAAGGATTCAGTGTGTGACCTTTAAGTTCATACTTTGGTAATTTCTTAAGATTTTTACTCATAAACAAAAAAAACCCTTTTTTTAAATTTGACATGAAGTTCATTGCTCTGCACATAATCCTACTATTTTTTCTTTGTAGGGTAGTAGCAGCTCAGATTCTCTGGAGGGGCGGAGTTCGGATTATGCCAATAAAAGCTACGATGCAGTTGTATTTGATGTGTTGAAAGTAACTCCTGAGGAGTTTGCTGTAAGTAGAAATGTTATTTTTGCATTTATGTTTGTATAATATTCAGGGCTCTCAGGATATAAAAATAGCATAAAACCTTTTTCTTAAAACAAAATCTTTTAAACAAACTTGCAGTGTTCTCAAAGGCAAATTTATGATTATATAAACTTTAACAATGTAAACATGTCTCGGGACCTATTCAGTACTGAGCTGACTTAGCATATTGGTTTTTCGACTTAAAGCCATTTAAATTTTTTCCAGTGTTTTAGAAAACCCTAGCATAGGTTTAGAAACAATGTTAGGTATCCATAGTCCTATTCA